TACCAACCCATTCTTAATGAAGCTGATTTTTGCAGCATTCTCGCTCCCGCATGTTGATATACATGTAACTTCGTTTCAATCCAGCGGCATATCCCGTGGGCGCCCAAAAAGGGGCTCCCATTGTTGGCAACTGCTCATCCCGAATGTGCAAAACGAATTCCTGTAACGATTCAGTTGAACTCCCCTGTCAGAACCTTGAAGTTTCTTGAGTAAGGGGTTTCTGAATCTAAATATGTGGTTTCTGTAGCAGCCCTAAGCCTAAACCCTAAACCCTAAGCCCTCAGCCCTCAGCCCTAAGCGTTAAGCCCTAAGCCCTAAGCCCTAAGCCCTAAGCCCTAAGCCCTAAGCCCTAAGCCCTAAGCCCAAACCTTAAGCTTGCAGGAGGCCCCTTGCACTGCAGACCCGCTGGAAGCTCCGACCCCGGCGCGCGCCGAGCGCCGGGCGGAGGCGCGCGACCTCGGCGAGGCCTCGGCTCCTGCATGGGATCCTGGATTTTTCATAAAAGGGAGTTTCCGAGAATAAGGGGTACCTTATTTGGGGGTCCTTATAATAAGGATTCTCCTGTTTAGGGAACTATATTAGGGTCCCCTATTTTCGGAAACAATATACTATTTCTGCTATATACAATATACCATTGACCATGTATCATAAAGGGTTCTTTCGCCAAAAACCAAATGATCCTGACAAGCAGGGACCAATGCCTTTCTATGCTTGGCACCAATTGCACTATAGTTCCTGCATCTAATGGGTATTAGTCTCTGTGAGGAACCCAGGCCAAGCTGCAACCAACACCAAGGGCGAATGTTACTCGACTCCAAGGCAGAAAGCAAAGAAGAAAAAACTGATAATCATTTATATTCCTTTGCTTGTGTCGCTTGTCGATGCTTCTCGCGGTCAGGCATTCCATAGACAGCATGTCTTGACTCCCCGTAACTCAGAGGGTTGTCATGCATTGCTACCAGCCGAAGACCAATGCGACTTCACAGCAGTCTGAGCTGATACGCAGGGCCCGGCATCGCCTACAACCGTATAACCTCTGTCTTCATCAGCATCTTCATCGCCGCCACCACCATCGTTACTACAGGCGTCTCATGGTGAGGCAATTTATGTCGTCTTTGTCACCACCACCGTCGTCCTGGCTGTGTTGAAAAGGGAGTACTTTCAAGGGTGAAGATGAAACGAAATGATAGGAACCAGCATTTTTAACAAGAAGGCGCACGATGAGGCCAAGAAGCTGGATCGCGCCGTCCGAGAGCCTCAGCCTGAAGTTCGCCTTAGAATGGAGTTGAGGTCAGGGTCTGGCAGGACTCCTCCCACGGAGAAACAGGCGCGAGGTGACCATGAAAGCAAGGCACTGTATCATCCTGTATCCTGCAATGCTCGCAGCTCGTGTGCTCACCAGCGCAACCCGCGCAGCGTACTGCAGCCTGGAGCCTTGTCAGATTAAATCTAGGGCAGTTGAAACTCATCCTGCGCAGTCCTGGAGCAGCCACTTCGCCCACGTCATTGCCTCTCTTGGCCAAGGAGCTAACTTATGCCTGGCAGCAGACAGACGCGGAGGCACGGATTAAACGAAGCGCGCGCTATTCGAGCTGCCCGTCCGACTGGTCCCTGCAGAAACTCCGAGCCCAAAAGAACCGAGAGGGCGCTGTTTGCCTAGACAAGCCATCCGGAGGTAAAGGTTTACGTGTCCTTCGACCAAGCGGAAGACCTCTCTGACGTGACCGAGTCGCAGGTGCAATCAGCCACCTGTCGGGCAGAAGCTTTGGAGCCTGGCTGCTCCATTGTTATTGGTGCCACTGCTACTGCTGTTACTATTTAATAAAACCAGTACTACTACTACTACTACTACTACTACTACTACTACTACTACTACTACTACTTGGGGGGGCCTACTACTACTAGACTATACTTTGAGCCTAGTACTAAACAGTTGCATCTTTGAAGATCAGCTGAGGAGTTCGGCGAGTGGAGTGCGAGCTTGCTCATCAACGTTGACAGAGGAGCTTTAGGGTTCAGGGTTTAGCGTGGAGGGGTGGAAGACTTACCCGATCCAGGGGTGTCTGGTAGTTGTGGTACTTATGCTGAAGCTTGTTTAAACCTTGCCTACCCAACTACAGCTATGAGAACGGACCACGAGCATCGCAAGCCCAAGGCCTTCACCAGCTCTTGCCTGCAACCACCACCCTTCGACAAAGTCCAAGTTTTAGCATGGCGGGCTGAGTTTAATACTGTTTGTGCCTGTTTCATAGTAGAGTTTATGCCTAAGAACCCTATTCTGACCATCACGACCCCTACAGTAGTCATCGAAGTTCCGAACCCTTCCGAGTGACAAGCCGCCGCGAAACGCAATCCCAGGGGTGCCCTTTGGCCTCCGCCTGCCAGACTTTCACCGCCGGGTAGACCCGCAGAGGTGCCCTGGAAAGGAGTAACGGGAAGTGCAAAATTCAAGGGAACACTGCCAAGACGAGATGCCTGAACCAGGTGGTGCATGTCGGGTGGTATGGTGCTCCAGGATTGTTCAGAAGTGCGAAGTGAATGAGGTACAGGTCAGGGATGGTGTTCCTAACGGTTTGTCGCACTCAGTTGAGTATCCTGACTTCCAGGAGGACTGTGGACCAGCAGAACGCAGTTTCTGTCCATCCAGCCTGGCAAGTTTCTAACCACGTGCTTCAGAAAGCCGACAAAAATCCTAAACCACCACTTGACAATGATGGGAGCAGTGCCTTCACGAGAATACAACCAAAGGCTCCCGTGCACAACTGTGTATCCTTGCTGCTTAGCCTGAGCGCCGTGATAGCTAGCAGTAGCAAAGTCACATGATGACTACAGTGGGCTGTCACTGAACCTCGATCCGATCCAATGCGTGCGACATGTGGTGACTAAGATGACGAAGAAGACGATTATGTTGATGATGACGGTGGCGATGATGAGGATGATGATGAGACAAAGAAGGAGGAGCATGATGATGATGCGACGACGACGATGATGATTATGGCGTTGTTGTTGATGATGATGATGATGATGCTGATGATGACAATGGTGATGGTGATGGTGATGGTGATGGATCAGCATGTTCATGATGATGAGGATGATGAGGATGATGTTGATGATGCTGGTGCTGATGATGATGATGATGATGGCGATGACGATGGTGATGGTGATG